TTGGGGCGCAGGTAGCGCTTTAGCACTGGTATCAGAAATAACCCAAACGATACCCAACCCTTTTCCAGCCTGATATTTTGTTTTTTCTCAACACCAACAGTTCTCAAGACTAATTTTAAGAGATGAATGGCTTTCATTGCATTGAAAACACTAATCCGTCATAATGAATGTGCCCCCTTCTCCTTTCTTTTATGTTACCTGATAATGAAATGGCTGTCGCCACTCACTTCTTTGATTAATTTCAAGTCAATCCTTGAGGGGTCCTCTGTACTTGTCCTTTGATTACAAAATGACACTTTTTCCCCTTTCCCCCACCCCCAAATACATACATACCTCAAATAAAGAAAGTTAGCTGCAGCTCCCTTTCCTGTTCTATTAAAGACACCTTGTCCCTCCACATTCAGTCTCAAGATCATTGTTATTTCCCTGAGGTGTTTCATGCTGACAGATGGGCTTCAGAAGGGAGTTTGGAGAGATGAAGGACTTGCAGAGAAAGAGACACAGAATCGAGGTATAAAGATGAAATGGAAGAGGAGAGAAGCAGAGGCAACTTTTTCCATTAGTGTCATTAAAGCGACCCTGACGCTGAGGGTGGAAGGACAAACAGTGGAGGGATGGAAATAACATCCCCCCCCCTCCTGTCTCTATCTTTACCTGTGTTGAAGGTTTCCATTCATCCTTGGTGTGCTGTTAATGATTATATTCTCAGCTTGGTGCCTTTATAGAGGTCCTAAAGCTGAGAGATCCAGTGTCACATTATAGAACAGGAATGCAGAGCAAAGAGTGTGATAATCATATACCTAATGTGATGATAATAATATCTGTATCACTCTTTAAAGTTTACCCTTTTCCAGTGGTTGAAAATGCCTGTCAAGTGTTTATTTTTCAGGATGTACAGGATTTCCTTGTCCCTAAATCCAAGCCACAGAAGGGCCTCTGTTGTTGAAAATGCGACTGGTTTCTGAGAGTGGTCTGCTCTGTCTCAAGAGCAACTCAATAAGGAGGGTAGTCAATATGGCTGCTCTCAGATGGTGGGTCAATGAGGGAGGAGGCTTCCTGCTGAGCCAAGGGTAGAATAGGAGAGAACAGGGGGTCTTTGTGTGGAGAGCAGACCCTCACCCACTCCTTTTTACTGCCTTTTCTGGGATATCACACCTAACGTTAAAAGACTGACTTATTCTAATGCGGGTTGGTACAGAGGGAAAAAAAAAATCATCCACAAGTGAGTTATCCAGTTTTTACAAGTTACTGTTCTGTGAACACATTACCTTAATTCACATAGGCTACACCTTACCTTGACAGTAAGCCCTGTAACATCTAAAAATATGCTCTCAGCACTGGCTCAAGATGGGAAATACAGCGCTAGCTCTGTGTCTCCATTCTGTCTCTCATCTCAGAGCGAGAGAGAAACTGGGAGGGAGAGAGCAAGGCAGCATATCAGGGCACCACCTTAAGCTGGGCTCCCAAACCTTTTATGACTGCTGAGCAAAGTGGATTTGGGACAGAGGTAACAGCCCGTACTTATCAAGCAGACAACCTCATTTTCTAGTCCCTTGCTCTCCTCTCCCTGGTCCTCACTGGTTGCCTGGTGTGGTGGTAACTATTTTTCAAAGACAAACGGGGTCTCCCACACTGCTTGGCCACACTTTAATGTGGTTTCTGACACCCCCTCCCTCCTTTAACTCTGCAGCTGTGTTGTTAAAAGACTGCAGTGTTTGACTACTAATAAATTCTGGCATAAAGATGTGCATGTTCTCCATCGCCAACTGTAAGAATTATTTAAGAGAAAATAAATTTGATGCCGGTGTACTTTTGTGTTACTTAATAAAAACGATGACGATCATCCGGACCCATGCATATTGTTTAATACACTCAAGACAGAAAAGTTTCTGTACAAGAGGCAGAATCCCCCATTGTTGTAAAATTCATCTCATCTCTTCTTTTCATTATTTTTGTTTCAGTGAGGTTTGGTTAGATTTTTTCTTTGCACTTTAATGATGTATGGGAACATACGCTCTGTTGAGTTTTCTGTCAATGAACACTTCAGAATACATCAAGAGAATACAGCTTGTTCTGTAGGTGTTCATTAGATAGCCTGCAACTCCCAACCTTGTTAGGTGCCAGAAGTAAACTTTTCCTTGGCTTTGAACCAAAAGTTGAAGTTTAACTTTGATCTATGAAAGCTTTTCTTATGATTTGTAGCCTCTCTATATGCTACAAAGAATAGAAAACAAAGAATGGTCAACAGTTTTGAAGCTTTGAAAGATATTTGGCAGCTGATGCCACTCTTCATATCAAAATATTTGTTTAGTCTGTGCGTAGTAGGTCGAGCATTGATTACACTGTCCCTCCTTCCTGTTATTGGAGTTTGCACTTTGGTCACTACCAGTGGCATCATTGTTTTGCTTTCTTGGTTGTATGTTTGTCTGTCTGCAGGTATTAGTGGTATCAAATAGAGGTTTTGAGGTCATTTTCAGATGAAGATATTGTGAAAAAGTTATTATAAAGTTAAGCTAAATGTAGTTGATCACAAACCAGCCCCTCAGCCTGCCATCAACCCTTCACTCCCCCATGTGCTTATCCCCATCTCCAGTCCCATCTTTTTCTGTTCCCCCTGCCCTGCTCTGCTGACTGTGGATGTTGTCTCTGCAACTGAAAGCAGATGGTTCGCCATTTTGTTCGACAGTAGAGCTGAAGCTAAGCCCTCCCCTACTGCTCCTACGATAGGGATAAAAAGCTGCTATAGGCGGCTGTTTTGGCTCTGATAGAATGCCGCAAGACCTTCAAGCCCATTCAGTTTTCTCCTCAGATAGAGAGCGACTGAAGATGGTCTTTTGACTGGATAAGAGCCAGGCTAGGGCCTGGAAGCTTTGCCCATCCCACACACCCACTGTTCCAGCAGCGTAAAGCAGAGATGATTAAGCATGCCATGGTGCCTCTGGTCTGCAGGACTGACAAATTCCCCCCACTGCTACTCCACTCTGGTCTCTCTCCATCTGTCATGTACACCATCAGTAAAAATACATTTGCTGGTGTTGTCACATTCTGCCCAATATGTATACTAAGCTGCTCTGAATTTATCGATTTCCTGAAATCAGCCGCTAAATTCAGTCAAATATAAAACCACTTGCTTCCTGCTAAGAGTTGTGAGGTGTGTGACGTTGGCTTAGGATAAAGTATATTATTATTATTATTATTACATATATTTTATTACCTGCTTCTTTTCATTCACTTGAATCTCACACCCACTTCTGCGTAAAATATCGTATGTCTGAGCACTTGTGCGGTCTCAGCAAGTCTAGTCTAGCAAGTTTTTGTATCCTGAAATTCTGCTTTACTCGTGTCCAGTCTGTAGCTGCACATTACTGGCAGCAAAATGTGATTTGAAACCTGCCAGATTCACCTCAATAAAATGCTTCAGAGTCACCAAGATCCAACATTGTCCATTAAAGACAGATAAAGGCACTTCTTCCCCCTTTCTCTTTTCTAGTCTTCTCCAACAGTGAATTAGTATGGAGACAATTGCACAGCATAGTTGGAATGCAGTGTTGTCTTACCTTTATTCCCTAATGTGGAAGTGGAAAATATCTTTCTATTCAGTAATTTTCTGTAATTGTTTGTGCTTTCAAGAGAACTAAGTGCACAGAGGACAAGCAACCATATTGCCACCGTAATGGACCACGCATTACATTGCTTCTCTCTGAATCTCACACTAGGGACTTGGCGCCGCAAGGTAGAGAAATTACCTCCTAGTAGTTAAATAGCTGAACCATTGACACAGCATCTCTCTTTCTCTCCTCTTCTCTCCCCCCTTCCTCTCCTGTTCAGTCTTCCTCTCTTTTTGCCTCTTTCTGCTCTCGCTCTCCCCTGGAGACTTGCCATTTCCTTGGAAGAGAGCAGGCATATTTTAAACTGCATTTAACATTCAGCCACTTATTTCACTCCATTCGCTGCATTATTAAAATACCTTCATACCCTCTTAATTATTTTTCTAGCTCTCTTCCATCCCTGCAGAACTGATAATTGGTGTTATTTATCTAAACAATACTACTGTGTGACTCTTAGGGTGGGAGCACTTGAATAATGGATGAGGACAAATGCAAAGCAATTGCACTTACTCTGACTTTGGCGCTATCCATGTCAGTGCGATGTTACCATTTATGCTCGAGGAAAGGAAATGGCAACCGCGTTCCAAAGTGTTTACTCCTTCGCTGCACTCTCTACTTATAATAAAGCAAGACGTGATATTAACTTGCCAGAAAGGCTAGACTGGGTTAAATTTGTCAGTTCCTCTCGTCCAATTCCAGTGGGGCTTGTGGTTTCATAATGAAAAGCCTCTTGGAGTCTCTGGGATAGACTGAGGCCCAGTGGCTGAAAAGATAGAATGAACCAAAAGATGTTTTGCTTTGGAAACATTTCATGGAGTGTTTGGGCCACTTGGATTCCTGTAGTGTCCTTTCATTTTAGCCACCAGCACATTTTGTGTGAGGGACTTTTAAAATGTGCTATTGAAGTTGATGACATCTTTGGAGATGTGTTTTCACTTGTTATGTGGTTGAGCTCAAAAGGCAGCTACAGTATTTAGTTCCATGTATTTCAGATGATGGTCAGCATTTTACAGCTCCGTTGAATCTGAAAAGTATACAATACAAAAATGTTGCACAGTAATTTATACTCATCTATTACAGCAGTTACATACATTTTGCTCATATTTACTAATACATCACAGCAGGTCATGATGAAGCTTTTCGGCATCTGCAGCAAGCATCAAATTTACACTTCCACCACTGTTGGAAAGTAGACACTTGCTGGTATTACAATGAAGTCAATAATATCAGCATTGGTATCAGCCGCAGTGACCATGGAACAGATCAATTGTTCAACAGCAACATGATTCTCATTTGATTTATTGCTCCTCACTGCTCAGGTGATCCTGTTCCACAACGTGCTTGGTGTCGGTGTAGAGCATCCAGCTAAGATCTTTGTTCTCCCCCCCCCAGGTTCAGCAGCGCAGCCCTTCAGCCCCTTCTGGTTCACAGTGGAGCCCCAGGACACACTGGCCATTCGGGGCAACTCGGCATTGCTCAACTGCTCGGCCCACAGCGACTCGGCTACGACGGCGCGCATAGAGTGGAAGAAAGACGGCACCTTCATGAGCCTGGGTTCAGATGAGAGACGACACATTCTTCCCGATGGCTCGCTGTTCTTCAACCATGTGGTCCACTCTAAGCACAATAAGCCTGACGAGGGCACCTATCAGTGCGTTGTCACTATCGACAACCTGGGATCCATTTCCAGCCGCACGGCCCGTCTCTCCGTAGCAGGTAAGGGCTGCCAGATTCACCTAGTTCACAGTTTTTGCCATATCCTGTACTCCTTAACCACCATGGTTAAAAATACAGTTGTAGCTTGTGGCAAATTGTTTTGACAATTCAACATTCGCCCCCAGATTATGGGAATTGGGATAGTAAGTTTTCATTTGTGCTGGTTGATGACACATCTCTCAATGACCATGTGGACAGTATTTGGCTTATTGAGGAATAAAAGTGGTTGGAAAACACACATTTTTCATCATGAATATCATAGATTCTACAAATACCACGTAAAGAACCACTAAACCCCTCTGTCAGTCTTTATTATGTCCTTATTATTGTGTCCTCAGTTTTTAAGAAACAATGTAAGACAAAGTATGTTTTGTAATATAAAAGCTGTCTTTCTTTAACAGTTCTTAATAATGTTTGCGACTACACGCCTACGCTACAAATGGTGAACCACAATAAAATCTATAGGTGTGAAAAGGTTCTGTAGTTGCTGTCCCTTGCGGAGTGTTTTTTGTCCTTTAATTGCTCAACCATTTGTGCTTTCTCTTCTATAAATTCCTTCACTTCGCTGCAACCTGAATGCATTGCCGTACTGGATAAATGCTTGCAAAAGGGTCTGTTTTTTTTTCATTACTAGTCCTACTATGTGACCTTGTTCGGTTTGGGAACAGTCACTGAACAGCAAGTGACGTGGGATTATTAGGTGTTTTGAGTCAAGTCATGCCCCGAAATTCAATTTGCAGCTGGAGGAGCCGCAGAATGCATTTACTGTGTGCTTTCTGCTCAGCGGTGCTCTGCCAGATTTTAAGACGCTCGAGAGAGAGGCCTCTTGTTGACAATGGGATAGTACAGTATAAGCCTCTCGGATACTGAGTGCCTGTGTGAAGTTACTGTCTCACTGTGATTCGGTTTCTTTTCATAGGCGTTTGAATTACAAGTTAATGAGGCAGCATATTTCCATTGCAGAGATTGAGAAGATTTTTCCTCCCTGCCGCAAAGAGTTTAGTTGTCTAACTGTGCATGTGCAACGTGATCTCTCAGACTCCACTCGTCTTGACAAAACTTAAACGCATACAGTAGATACAAGGTGCTTCAGTAGCGAATGGCCAAATATAAGGCGCCTGTATTAATCTGCGAAGTCTCTGACACCAGTGGTCCAGCTTTGATTAATAAAAGACTGCAGTGTAGTATTATAACACCTGATTAGGTGCTTAGCTAAAAATTTTAACATCTGGAAGACCCTGGAGTTGGATTTTGGAGACATATTTACTTATTTTTCTTTCTGCTGCCTCACGTATTGCTGATCCAGCAGCAACAGGGGACAGATATGTGCTTAGTCTAATTCAAGGACTCAAGGTTATTTTATTGTCATTTACTACACAGTACTGTAGAATGAAATCTGGATATAGTTCTCTTTATGCTACTTCTAAAAAAACAAAATAAAAATAGATAAATGAGTCATACAAATACAAAAAATACTAACTTGTATGATGAATTGTTGAGGAATAATGTCTCACTGCCTTTAAGTCTGGTGGTACGGCAGCAGAACAGGCTGTGGTGGGTACTGTCTTTTTAGTGTCATTTGGATGTGCAAATATATACTTAACTACTTTCTGTTAACACGTTTAAGCCATTTTCAGCCTTCACACAAGTTATTGTAGTGTTGATGTAATAGCAGTAACAGTAGACCTCATGGTTGCTATGGCAATTCTCCTGGCTTTAATCATAAAACAGATTGTCAGGTAAACTGAAGAAAACAGAAACACAACAGTTTCTGTGTGGTTTTTTTTGTATGAAAGGAATAAATGACAGTGTGCTTGCACATGTGTGTGCATCTTTAAGTCTTTTCAACCATAGCTGGACAGTAGGCAATCTATTCCGGCGCTTCATCAATATCTGTCACTAAAGCTGCATCGACGTATCATGCAGAAGGGACTTGTTTAGTCCCTGTGCCAAGAAGAGTTCTGCTATCAGGCAGCCTCACAGCCAGTGGGATCTGCCTGGGTCAACCATGATGGGATGTTAGATTCAATCAATTTCTACTTGAAGAGTGGAGCAGGTGAAACCTGTCAGCTATTATAGGCACACAAACGCACACACACACACGCTTACACACATGTCACATGGAAATTCATAGACATTAAAGCTTCGACCATTGTGCACATGCAAGTGTTGAACACATTAAGCTATTGCATTTATGGTTCTACTTACACACATACACACACATGCACAACCACTGATGTATCTCCAGCTGGCTGGCAGGTGGCCAATAAAAAGGTTAATTGCGGTGTAGAGCGAGCAGGCCATTAGGCCGCCATCAGACCCAGGAACGACTGTGCAGGCAGGGGCGGAGTGGGCGTGACCTCTCAGATGTAATGACGGAATGAGTCACGGGTGGCTAGCGTGGCAGAGAGCATATCTGACAAATACCAGGGCAATATCTGGGATTGATTGCTAGGAGACGTGCAGCTCATTCTTCTCAAGGAAACACCTCCACTTCCACACATCATCACCATCGCCGCCATGGCGCTTCGATCCTCAGCTTTGGCTCTTTGTCTTACCAGGCTCCCGCTCTCCCCAGGTTTTTATTTTTTAATAATGTTCAAATTAATTGATTAATTGTTCTAGTCAGTTTTAAAGAAGATTTAAAGAAATAATTGGATGGTTCCAGGTCCTCAAATGTGACCCGTTTTTCTTGAGATCTATATATATATATTGTATATTGTATATTCTAGTAAATTGAATATCTTTGGGTTTTGACTGTTGGTCGGACCACCACATTTTTTCTGATGTTTTACGGAATGCAGGAAATAATCAGCTGATTAATTGATAATTAAAATTACTTTAGTGACTGTGACTGTAATTTGTGATTATCTTTTACATCGACTGCATATCTAATTAATTAGTTAAAGAAATTATTAAAATATTAATGATACAACAATAGATTATGAAAACAAAATCATTAGTGCAGTCAAATTTCACTAATCACACATATATATACACCGTATACTGTTAACCACTATTAAAATAGTTTTTTAGACATGTATTATTTACCACTATTACCAGCTGTTTTAGCCTTTTTTTTTTGTGTGTGTGTGTGTGTGTGTGTGTGTGTGTGTGTGTCAGATAGTCAGATACTGTGGAGACACAAGCAGACTATGAAAAAAGAGAGGTGGCCTAGTGGAACCCAATCTTATGTATTCAGTTTGAGTCTCTGTAAGAGAAAAGGAGGGGGGAGAAAAATTATAGGGCAGAGAGCGAGTGAGCGAGCGGTATACAGCATTGATAGCCAGGACACAGAGCGAGACGCGAGTAATGAGAAATCCCATCTTAACTGTCTGCCGTGCTCCCACACAGCCGTCCCTCCTCCCACCGGCACGCTTTGAACTCAGCCCTCCTTAAGAATTGCTTGAGGTGAGCCCCACCTCACCGCCGCTTAATAGGGAAACCCCCAAATGAAAAAAAAAATGGAGAGTTCATTCTGCCCTTTCTCCCTCTCTCCCACTATCTTGCAGTCTCTTTGTTTTGTGTCCTTGCTGACCTCTCCATATGTAGATGGGACAATTTTCTCTTTAAATATATCAGCTTTTTTTGTTATTAGTTTTTCTCTGTTTCCGCCATATCTGCTCCTCTGTTCTTTCTAATGTTTTTCCTCTCTCACCTATAGGCTACTGCGGTATATAAAGATAACCAAAGCCACTTATCACTTTGCTTTGATATCATGTTTCACTGAAATCTAATTTTCCCCCACCCCACAGTAGTAGAAATTATAAACAGTAAACCAGCACTCTTCATGTGTCATGTGTGTCGCCTCATATTTAAGCATGCTCATCGTTCGATAGAGTCGGACGCCCTTTGAAGGATTTAGGGGTGTCGGCAGATTCTTTTAATCCCTTTTTTGATGTATTTTAATCTGTTTTTGGGAGGGGAGGGGTACACACACCCAAGGACATGACAGCTTGAAAATGTGAAAAACGATCATTGCGTCACTATTGCATGGATATCCCTTTGTGGTATTGTCGGATACACTCTGTAGGACATACAGTCGATTAATTAAGTTGGCTTCTTTATATTTTTGTGAATAATGAAACGTCAGCTATGTTGTGACAAAAATAAAACGGATCTCAACCAAACGTGGATAAAGACGTTCATTTGGGGGTAAAATACCATGGTCCACATGCACTGAGGTTGCTATGGTTCGCAAGATTTTCTGTAAATCTGTCTTTATCTGTGGCTCCTTTTAGCATGACTACACATTCAGCCTCACTCATTTGATTCTTCTTTAAGTAACTCCAATGAACAAAATGAAAATGCTGCAAGAGAACCTAAACATTAATGCATATGTAATCTAATATGCCCTATACAGTTATCTGTAAGTGTTTTATTGGATATTAAGTGAATGCAGCGAGTTTTAAACTATGAACAATGATTTTGTTTCATCAGTCCTTTAAGGAAGACTGATGAGGATTGCATTGCTCTTCAGTGCCTTGACAAGCGCATATATAATATGAGTGGCCCGTGTAATATGTTTTGCTTGCTACTTGTAATCTGTGCAATAAATTCTACCAACAATGTGCCTTTACAAAATAATATTGTTGCTGTACAGAAGAATTAAAACCGAGACATGTTAAAAGAAATCTCCCACTCTCACATTCTCAAACCAAAACTCTCTTTAGCATAGTAAGTCCTGACAGTGGTGTCTTACACTATGTAATGTTGACTTTTATTATACTTAATATCAGCCGGTCTTGGTGCCTAAGTTTGGAAGGGGATAGGAGAGAAATGTTAATTTTTGACCAACGGCAGCTAAATCCAAATTTTTGAATGCATATGAACCTGTTCTCAGATTCTCTGCCTTCACCTGACACCCAAAAATAACCTAGTCCATGTCACCTTGTGTCAGTATGCTAAACTCACCCTGATAAAAACACAGATACACACAGACGAGGGGAAACGGTTATCTCAAAGGCTGATCTGGTTCCAGCTACAAAGATGATGGCCCA